GTCTGGGGGGTCCGGACCCCCCTATCAGATCGGAGGGTTTTTTGCTTTCACCATTATCCATAGCAGAACCATCTCCAGGATCAACCAAAATGCACTTTTCATAGCCTAAAATCTCCAAATGTTTCTGTGGCAGACCCGAACACGGCTATGCCATGTGAAGGGTGGCATAACTACTGCCGTCTTCTTCCAAAAGTTCTCCTTAGAACTACTTCACATTTTCGGGAAAACTCTGGACCCCCTCTATCAAAAATTCCTGGATTCGCCCCTGGATTGGTTTGTTTGGATTGGCGAGTTTGTGTTGACATGGTCAATTGTTTCTTGTTAGATGTTGAACCTAAGTGTGAATCGCATCGGACCAGAAGGCGCTAAACACTTGGCTGATGTTATCAGGGAAAACAAATCACTTAGAATGCTATTGTAAGTAGCTTCTGAATGTCTTAATTTCCTTTGTTAGATCTATTGTCTCTTAAATATATTAATATATTATTGAATAGATCTAGGGAGGAGTCCTAAGGGCAAATATCACTAAATACTCGTTGATGTAACCGAATAATTTCCGATTTTTATCATCCATTCAAATACCACTGTCACTGACATAAGATCTTAGCAGCTCTGAAGAAAAAAAAACTAGGATGGGATTCCAACGGAATTTTTTCCCTTCGTTTTAAGATTACATAATTAACTGATGGCCAGTGAAAGTATATAGTGTAGAGGCAATGACAACACGCTGCTTACGTAATATATAAAACACGAGAAATAGTGTTTCATCCGACTTCCAAACACCGAGAAGACAGTTGAAAATACGACGCGTAGCGGAGTATGTTTGACGAAATTCGTAGTGGTTTAGAATTCTCTCGAATGTTTGATATATCTTCTCCATCGAAACAAAACCTAAGAAATAAACGGCGAAATAGTTGCACAGTTGTTTGTCATATGACTCATGATTCCACAACGTATTTCTTGTCAGTCGTTTGGAAGTTCCAGGGTAACGGTTAAATTAAACATGAACGACAGTTGTAAACAAAATGTTACCGGAAATAAATGATGGCATATTTTAAGCTTGGTAGACATACGAGATCAGTCCGTAACACAAGCTACTCGGAAAAAAATTTGCCAAGTTTCTCCCAACAGGAGTCGAACGGAAGGTGATAGGTTCGACTCGTGTTGAGAGAACTCGGAATTCTTTTTCCGAGCAGCTTGTGATACTAACTGATTAAGATCTTTCAAATATTGTACCATATAAATTGACCATTTCATTTCCCAAGCGTTTATTAGCTAAGTTCTGTCTTGTTTTGTCCTATTTCAGAATACACGGCAATACCTTAACAGATGAAGGAGTAGGAATAATCATTGACGCTATTGTAGAAACTGAAGACACGTCAATCATGAATTTGGACTTAGGAGACTGTGGTTTAACTCAAGATGGCGCCAAACACATCGCTAAACTGATCGAGCAAAACAACACTGTCACGACACTAACAGTAAGTGGTAACACCTTCCACTTGGAGGGATGGAAGAGTGTTAGCAAGGCCTTGGCAACCAACAGTACTCTTGAGACCTTGTCCTTTGATTATAACAAGATCGGAGACGAGGAAGCAGTTGTTATAGCTGAAGGAATACAAGGATGTAAAAGTCTTCGTTCTGTGGACTTGGAGGGAAACAAAATTGGCGATGAAGGAGGGCGAAAGCTGTTTGAAGCAGTGAAAGCTAATAAGTCAATTGTTGACCTTACACTCGTGCCTATGAATCAAATATCAAAGGAAATCGTAGATGAAGTTAAGGTTTTCCTTGAAGAAAGAGCAAAAGGGAACGAGCCTGAAGACGCTGATGGTGGTGAAGAACAGCATGACACTGAGGAGAGTGCGTACCAGCCTCATCAAGACAATGGAGATGAAGGTGTAGTAACTGAAGAAAGAGGGAGCTCGGAGATACCTCAAGAAGAGGGCGCTGCTAGTGAAAACCCACCAGCTGAGCAGAGCAGTGGAGCAACGGAAGGTGAACAGCAAGAGGGTGAGAGGACTGAGTCGGGTGCAGCACAAGAGAAACAGGGTAAAGAAGAGGAAGATAAGCAAGCCGATGATGGAGAACAACCATCAGGTGGAAACCAACAAGAGGAACAGGAATCTTCTACTGCTGAGAAGGAAGGAGGGCAGCCGTCAGGTGGAGATCATTCAGAGCAACAGGAATCTCGTGCTGCTACTGAGGAGGAAGCTGGCCAATCGTCAGATGGAGTCCACCCTGAGGAACAGGTAACTACATCTCCTGAAGTGGAAGTGGCCCAGTTGTCAGATGGAGCCCGTGTTGAGCAACTGGAACCTACTGCTACTGAGGAGGAAGCCAGCAAGTCATCAGATGGAGTCCATTCCGAGCATCAAGAAGCTGCTCCAACTGAAGACTACCAAGATGGAAATGAAAACAAGAAGCAGGATAACGAAGAGGAGCAACAGTCTCCACAAAGTGAGCAACAGCAGATTTCAGAGGAGCCAGGAGAAAGCCCTGAGCAGGAAGCATCAGGGCAGGATCCTGAAAAACAGGATACTCCTAAGCTGCAGGAACTCCCAGAGAAAGAAGACACTGCTACTCAGGATCCAGCACCTTCCATGAGCCAAGATACAAATGACGAACAGGCATCAAAAGGAGTTTCCTCAACACAAGGAGAAGGAGATGACAACAAACAGGATAAACAGACCGCAGATGAGCAAGTGGCAGATGCTATATCTCCAGTTGAGAACGCTCAACAGAATGCATCTGATGCCACTTAATGTCAACAAACGAACCTATGTTTGAACTAAAACTCAGTAGAATAGATTAAGTGGTATATTTTAGATAGGAATCACCTTTTTAATACTATTCATTTGACAATCTCGCAATGTTTGTTTTGGAGTATTTAGTAACTGTGATTATTCATTCGTTATTTATTATTTTCGTAGCCTCTGGTGGCTTGTCACGTAATAATATCCCTACATGGAGTGTTGCGTGACGAACCCAATGGCGGTTCATTAGCAAGGATATATCGCTCGTATTATGTTTGTATAGAGACGATTAACTGGCAAAGCCATTTTGATATGAAAAACTTTTTTTTTCCACTGTTCCATGAATTATCCGTGTTTACTGAAGTGTATGTGTGGGGCATTAAAGGAGCTATGTCACTATCTTTTAAGTCATTTTTTTGATGTACAAAATTACCTTGAAATTGAAGGAAACCTCAAAATAATAGTGCACTAAGGTAGAAACACCTGCAAATGACGAAAGATCCACAAACCGTGACATAGCTCCTCTAAGAGTTAACATTCTCACTGAGTGATATCAATAAGATTTTATAGACTAACTACAGACAATGTAGACAGTTTTTTTGTTTGTTTTCTGTTAAAGTGAGAGCTATCCATGATATTTGGTTTAGACACGAAAACAAAAGTTTGCCAGAGTTTTCAAGTGAAAAGAATACGAGGACAAATCAGCAATGAAATGTCAATAAATGTCGTTAAAATGATCTTTACCGACCATGGTTGTTGGTACCTTGAAGTGTCGTGAGTTGCGCATCAACGAGTTAGCTATAGGTCTTAGTAGCCATCCCAGCTGTGTGCACACACGAGACAACCTTCCATGTGCATCTAATGACACTTCTACTTTAAACCACCAATGAAAACTGACGCTTACCTGTTAAGAACTCGCTGTATCGCCCGAGGTTGCCTGAACGATCCTGGACCAGTGTGGCAAATGACTTCATGTCAACCAATCAATTAATTTTCTTCAAACCTGTTAAAATCAAGAAACCGAATTTGTCACTGTAATTTAGTTTTTAGTAGTCAATCAGTTGTAAAAATAAGAAATTCACGAATTACGATGTAAATATTGTTATTTATGACAGTAACAAGGAGTTGAGTCGAGCGCCTTTGCGCTCAAGTAAAGGAGTTTGTTTAATAATGCGTCGGTTGATGCTACACCAAGATTTCTGTGGGTGGGTGGGTGGGAGCGCTCTCGTTGAATTTAAGTGCCATAACTTTTTTTTATTATTTTCTCATCTGAATCTAAACATTATCCAAGGAATTTCTGCGAAAAAAATTTTGCGATTTGCAGAAAACGCGAATTTTTTATGAATGTTTCAAATCTTCAAAATCCTATTTTTGTTTGGTATACCCGTCCTCGCTGTAAGAAGCCGACGGGCTCACATTTTCCTGAATGTACGTCACAATTCCTTGTTTGAAGCCACGTGTTCCTTAATCTACGTCACAGTTCCTTTGTCTGATGTCACGTGTTCCTTAATCTACGTCACAGATCCTTTGTGAACCGAGAAGGACCCAGGGAGACTAACGCAAATGGTGATCCAAAATGGCGGCAAATTTGAAAGTTTTATAACATTCATAAACAATTTCGCGTTTTCTGCAAATGGCAAAATTTTTTCGCAGAATTTCCTTGGGTGATGTTTAGATTCAGATGAGAAAATAAAATAAAAAAGGTTATGGGCACTTTAAATCAAATCGAGAGTCGTTGACGACCCTCGCTCACGTTTGGCCCATGCAGGTGATGATAGAAGAAACCTCTCGTGAGAGTCAACTCTCATGCTCGTTTGGCCCGGGCTTACAAGTTATTTGTCACCAATAATGGGGGAGCTGGGATAGAATACCAAAGACGGAAGCCCTAAGATATTATAAGCCACCTTAAATTGCAAAGATTGCATGACACAACATATCTGAACGATGCCTAGTGCTACACGCAAAAGATCTCCATGCAGTACGCCTCGCAAAACCATGGAAACTTGCAATATAAGCCTGAAAAAAAAATCGGGCTTCTACGGGATTTGAACCCATGACTCCGCGTTACCGGTGCGATGCTCTACCAGCCACACATTGAGAGCAAGGTCAATTGTGAGTTTATACACCCGTGATAGGAATGAATGTGATGATGAAGATATAAATGAAATCGTATTTGAACTGCGGAAATTAAATTAAATGAATAAGTGATCATCGCAGTTTTGAATGCAATGTTTGCTCCCGATGTGTGGCTTCATAGCTAAGTTGGTAGAGCATCAGCACTAGTAACGCGGAGGTCACGGGCTCAAATCCCGTTGAAGCCTGAATTTTTTTGCTGGCTTAATTATATTGCAATTGCAGAAATTGCATTTATAACTGCGATGATCACTTGTTCATTTAATTTCATTTCCGCAGTTCACATACGATTTCATTCATATATTCATCATCACATTTAAAAAGGCGTCAAAAAAGCAACATTGGTCAAGTGACATGCAAAAACTTACCGCTGTACTGTACAACATGACATGAAACAGACCCGCGAAAACGGCGTCTGTTTACTAAGGTAAAACCTTTGTTTTTTTACGAGATGAAAAAAATAACGAATGAACTTCAACGTCACAATGAACTCGATCTGACGTCAAATGAAAGCGCGCGCGCCGTTCGAATTTTCACTGATCACCGTGAAAATCCCGCTTGCAACATGACTTTCCATGATATATTCCACTCCAGCGAAACATTGCAGAACTCGTCTTTTCACCCGATACACTTGTAAAATACCGAAAGTGCTACAAGGCTAAATCTAAAATTAAATCTAAATCTGAAATGACTACCGTTAGAGTTATCCCGGTAACTTTTAGGGTATTTAAAGGCTAGAAAAAAAAAATGACAGCATTGGATACCTATTAGATGAAATAATTCAAGCCACGCCCAAAAACAAGATTCTGGTATACCTTTTAGTAGCCTGTGTGCAGAGGTCTCCTGTTTCCTTGCTTCACTTTCCCGCGTGAAGCAAGGAAACGGCAGACGTCTGTACGCAGGCTAACATTTTAGGCGTTCTTTCAACATTACCGACGATCACCCCTGTCACTTTTATATGAGTGCCCCCCCCGACTATAGGATTGGATGGCACTGGACACCGACTGAATCTACCAGAAATACTTGCTGTCCTCAAAATGGGCAATATGACGACTGTGGTAGGCATGGTAACCAGTCATTCAAGGAACAGGAATCGTTTGACTGCAGTCTAAGCTCTCTGAACGGACACTCTCGTAAGCGGACAGCTCTACTTACGGCCACCTTGACAAAACCCCGTTTGAACTCTCATACAAACTCGGTATTTACACATTCCCTTAAGCGGCGCGGACACTTTCGAGGGGTGAAATTTGGATTTTTCTGTTGTTTCTAAGCTCCCATCAGGGCGGACACCCCAAAGGAACAGTCCTATATTGGACTATTAGCCTCAATCAGAGGTCTATAGCTATAGACTTCTACCTCAATCCTATTTTAACCAATGACTTCACTCCGCTGTTTTCTTCATATTTGTTTGTTTTGTTTTGTGTTTTTTTTCGCATTAATACTGTTTAGTGTGAGCAGTACAAGCTCCCATAAGCGGCCACCTATCCCTTATACTGCTAGTGGCCGCTTACGAGAATCATTCCAGTAAGCGGCCAGCTCCAGTTGCGGACACTTTTTCTGCTTCCCGAGGGTGTCCGCTTACGGGAGCTTCGACTGTAGTAATATGAAACTAGTGCGGTATTGAAGATGAAATATGGCTCATAAATAAACAATAGCCTCCATTTGGCGAGGAAATATGCTCGATATTTGTCCGCGGACATTATCTGTTCCGAGAAGCGAACAGTTTTCGAGAGCGAAGCTCGAGGAAAACTGCGAGCTTCGAGGAACAGATAATGTCCAAGGACAAATATCCGAGCATATTTTTGAAGCCAAATGGAGGCTATTGTAGTTATTATCCTTCAAATATTTTTTCACAACGCCGCTCTGCTTGCCGTAGAAGATCTCGGTCGGCCAAGTTGTTCAGTAAACATCAAAATAATTATGTTGGCGTTCAAAAATATTTCTAGTCTGTTCAAAACAATCCGTTTTATTTAATTTAGCAATTTATTTGAGACGGAAACGCAAATTTTCAAAACTGGGAATATCACTTGGGGAATATCACCCGGATATTCCCCAGTTTTGGCTGCGTCACGTGACGTGTTTAGACCAATCGCGCGCGAGAAAAAAATTAGATGGATTATAACTGCTCATATCCCAGGTAAAGACAATATCACCAGGTCTCCTTTGCTCGGTAATTTTCCAACCGGAAGTAAAATTTCACGTTTTGGAAGCGCTAAAGTCGGTAAAGAAAAATCAGGCCACCATGTAGATTTTAACAAACGTGTAAAAATATCGCGCGCGCGTTCCCACAGACTACTTCGCACTCACGGATTCACAATCAAACTTCACCTTACAGGTAAGTCTCGTTTAATTTAGAAATGTTCTGTAAAGTGTAGTTTTAAGCGTCCTCTCACAGACAAGAAACATTATTTACCACTGAAAATAATCAGAACAGCTGACTATAAAAAAATACTTACAATAAACCTTTACAGTTTTTAAAATAAAAGACCATTTATCGTGTTTAACAAGCTTAAATAGATCCTGCACTTAATTTAAAATTATTTACATATTTTACACTTTAAAGTCAACGCATTTATGGCAGCTTTTTAAGAAACTAGAAAGTAATATCAAATTGAAATTAAAAGAAATACAACTTGGTGTTCAGGGAGTTCAAGCAAACCTCTACGGCAACGACTGAGAACGTCGCTAAAGAAAAGGTTTAAAATGAGCAGTACAATGGTTCTGCACGTGCGTTATACGGTTTGGTACATTTCTTAGCCGTACTCTGCATGCAAAACAACAACGTGAAATGACCAAATTCTGAGTTTTCGGAGAACGTGAACTACAATGGCGAATTTTTCAAGTTTCTCTTTGAATTTGAACACTGTCTTTGCATATTCAGCTGAGGATAGTTCTGACACCGATAGACAAACTGAATGGCACTCAGTGGGGATTCGCGAGATTTTGAAGCAAAATAAACATTTAGTCGACGTTGCCCTCGGCCTTCAGGGTCGTCGTTCCCTGGTATGTCAGACGGAAAGAAACGCCTTTTGAAATGGAAATTTTTTGGGCTTCAAAATAATCAGAGATGCATTGTTCAATAATCCAGCAAGTTAGTAAAGCCTTTCATTCCCAACAGAGATCAACATATAATTTCCCCTTACAAGATCAATGCATTGTGATAAAGACAGGTGATGAGAAGAAAGAAAATCATCAACTGCCGGGGATATTTCTTGATGTACCACCACATTCTCACAACTAGCATCAAAGTAACGGTACAACATAAGTACGGAGAATTGATATTTTGAGTTTGGGAATGAAAGGTTAACACTATTCTGGGTTTCTATTATGCTGTTCAAATGTTTGTTTACACTGCTAAAGATACTCAGAGGCTAATTAAAGTAAAATCAACGGTAATCGAAGAAGGATAAAACCACAGAGCGGTTTTCAATTGAGCGTCGTAAAAACCAAACCAATTACAATGGCCAATCACAACAAACGTAAACAACACAATGAGCCAATGAGAACTCAAAGCAAATACAGCCAGTTACCTGGCGGGAAAATGCGTGCGACCAAGTCGCGATTGGTTTTGCATCTGATTGGTTGAGTAGGTGGCGCGAGTTTTTTTAAACCAATCACAGAGCGTAGTGGAGTAAAACCAAAGCAATTCAGCGATTACATTCGACATCAATTTCGAAACCGTTCTATTATCAAATTGACACTTATCGAGCTTTGAAGCACTGGGTGATGCAAACCAGCAAAGCTCTCTGTTAGTAAAAAAGGCATTTTTTTAATTTTCACCTTTTTGGGACAGAAATGGTATATAGAGTGTTTTCACTCAGTTCTGTGGGAATTAAATGACAAAGGCCGTGGCAGCCATGTTAGTGTCCCTAACAAAATAAGTTAATACAAATGATTTTGTACGGGGACACCAATATGGCGGCTATGACGTCAAGTGAAAACAATCTTTTGATCATCTAGTTTTTATGTCCTTAGCATGAATATGTCATTTTTGAACGATTTCAACAGTATAAATGCTAAAATTCTGCCAAAGCAACAAGCAACGCTTTCTTAACAAGAGCCCCAGTTGCGGTTTGCCCTTCTAGTTCTTTCGCATTTCTACTGCTGAAATCACTCAAAAAGACATATTCATAAAAACTAGATGTCATCTATACCATTTTTGTCCCAAAAGGTTAAAATAAAAAAAAGCCTAAAAGCACTGATAACTCTTCAACAATTCTTCAATATTATTCGTGCAGTTTGTTTGTTTGTCAGCTCACACACTCATCTTTCCTTGGTTATCTGGTTTCAGACCCATCAGCTTGTGTAATTGTATTCACATTTTCTGATTGCATAGTGTCGTTTTGTGATTCAGAAGATACTGGTCTGTTCAAGTCCTCTAATGCACTGAGTTGTATCGAGTTTGGCAGTGAGTTAAAAGACAATGATGATTCAGAATCTCCCGGATACAGCGAGTGGACTGGGGTGGATGAACCTGGATAATCCGATGGAAGCTCTGAAAGTCTGAGATGTTCTGAGGAAAGTTCTAAAACTCCAGTAGTTTCTGGTACACTGGTATGCTCTACCGTCAAAGTCCGCACTGGACTTGTTGATTCTTCCACTGTGGCATTTTCCTCAGTTGGTAAAGGGACAGAATTAAGGTGGAATTCAACAGAAGAGCCTGGAAGCGTGGAATGCTGACAAAGTGAGGGGTCTGCTGTTGGGGTGTATGCAGGTGGAGGTTCAACTGGGACACTAGATATCCGTGTCACGTCATTCTGAGCAACACTGGAGTTGACAATGCCTTCTGGGTACAATTCAGCATAATTCTTGATTGGAGAAAAAGCAAATGTTAGTGGAATAAATTTTAAATTAATTTAAAGAGAATTACATGTAAATTGCCCAAAGATGTAATATTTACTACATTTTTTCACAATAGGAGTCATTTCACTGCTGTTCCCAGAAATTCTCATGGCCATGTATGTAATTTTTAGTAGCCTGTTTCAAGCATTCGGTTAGTAGGAAGCGGTGCAAAGAATGGTGAGTGAAAAAAAGGCGAGGGGTTCCACTTACTATTCTTTGCACCCCCACTAACCTAATGCTTGGAACAAGCTCAAGTTCTAGCCACTAATTAGGGATCAATTGCTTATTACATCCCAGGGGGTGAAGGGAAGGGGGTGGTTTTAGAGGGGGGAGGTAGTAAAAATCT